GTTCTAACACGCCCCCACATGTCTACATCACTATGTGGGAAGATTTGCATAACGCCGCCCAACTGTTCAGACAAAGAAAGTAGTATTGCTGTAGTATTGTTGCTGCCGCCGCCGCTATATCGTGTGTTTCGTTGTGAAAGCGAAACTACTTTGTTTGGTCTTCCAAAAGAGGACACGACTAGAAATCAGTGGTTAAGTTTTATTTACAACACTGTTCCAGAACACTTCAACCCAAATATTCAGATGTGAGCAACGCATTTTATGGATACTCCTGGAAGAGTAACTACAATGCCGGCTGTTCTGACTCACAGACTGTAAGTATGTTTTTATATTTAAAGGATTTGCCACTGATGATTCAAACGCGAGTTTTGGGCAGTGTAGAGTAGCGCTTGTTGTTTGTCGTTTCTCCGATCACAAATGCAGACATGGTTTTATGTTTATGCAGCGCACTGCAACGCAACCCGTAAAAAGACAGTATAAATCATTATAATCAGTAATTATGTCCCCACTGGATGCAACAAATGCCTCGTTTATAATGGGTTTTCATGTTTTTGTCTCGTCGCTCCGGCCGGACACGGCATCATCACAGTATGGTGAGGGGCGTAACATTTCCGTCTCACGCTTGAGGTATTCGGCCAATCACAACGCACTTGATAGCTGGCCAATCAGAGCGCACCTTGCTTTTCAGACCGATGAGTTTTGTAAAAATCGACACGTTTCAGAAAGGCGGGGCATAGAGGAGAAACAATGTACAGTATGTTGAAAATAATGTGTTTTTTAACCTTAAACCGCATAAAAACATTTAATTACACCAAATACACAAAATAATGTTCTTTTTTAGCAGCATCATATGACCCCTTTAATGAATTGTTTACTTTAACAATATTTGAAGGCTACATGTTAATGTATGATTTACTTAGTAATTAACAGCATTATTAAGCAAATTACACTTATTTAATGTTTTATTTTCAAATAAATAAAAAAAAATCATTTTTGCTATGGCACTGAAATTGGTGGTATTGGCACCGATTACTGAAACTTTGGTAACATGACAACACCAACGGGCATTAAGCAAATGTTTGGTGATGTGGCTTTCTTCTGGAGAAATGGCATGGACTTTATGCTTTGTATCTTTGCACATCATTTACATGCACAAAATATTACACTTAACTTTAGTGACTAAAGGAAAGAATTAAAAAAAAAAAATAACCGTAATAGGTGCCCCATAAAGAGTTCTTCTAAGGCAGGAAAAGAATGGACACTGCTGGACAAATTATCCAGCGGTAGCTCATTAGTCACTGGCAGTGCAAAAAGAAGTCCTGTGTCTGAGTTCTTGACTTACAAAAGGCACCCGGCGACCAACACTGATTTGAGAATCAATGACTTTTTCCTTGTTGTACATTTAAGTAGCAGTGGCACTTTGAAAAGCAGTAGTGAAGTCTCTGTTGTAATTTACTCAACCTCATGTCATGCCAAAACCTGTATGACTATATTTCTTCTGTGGACTGCAGCGCTACTGAAGTGGTTTTTCAACATGTCCCAGCTATGTCAGAATTAGGTCTTGTACATTGTGTTCTGGTTAGGCTTGGTTTTGTTCCCGTGCCATGTGTTCCCTGACCTAGTTTCCTAGTGTGTGATAGTTTGCTCCCTTAATTACAGATGTTGTTCACCTGCTGTTTTATTACTCATTAGTTCTCACTGTTACTGAAGCCCTGTGTTTCCTCAATTCCTTTGTCCAGTATCCACCTTTTTCTTCAACAAGTTCCCAAGTTTGCCTGTGTGGATTATAACAAAACTCTTCTAGTTTTTATCTCATTCATCATGTGCTTCTCTACAACCAACAACACGTTACAAAATGCTAATTTCTATACAATGCATGTGAATTGGGACAGGGGCAGTCAAGCTCCATATGTAATAAAACCAGCATATTTGGCTTGTGTACAACATTCTTAGTTGTTTGCGGTTTTTACAAAAGTAAAAAAAATTTGGATGACATGAAGCTGAGTAAATGATGACAAACAATCTATAACATTAAGCTATCAAAACAAGTTTGAATGATTTAATTGACTTATTTCAGGAGGCGTTACACACTAGCCCTGACCTGATGAGGCTCACTCTTTGGGTCGCTGTTTCAGTAGCGTCTAGGGTTGGTGGGACGCCTTCGACGAAGGCAATTCCGTAAAGCAGGAAGTTGTTGAGGAAGTTCTTCAGCTCTTCGTCGCAGCTCATGAATTTGTCCCAACTGGCAGAGGGCACCTTAGCGCTGGAGTAGATATCTGCGCTCCACAAGATACGAGGTTGCACGGCACTTCGCTTCTGGCCCTCGTAGCTGTTCTGGGCCAGCCATGTGAGATTGTACCGAGTGATGTGACCATCTGGCCCTGGAGGGGATCACAAACACCATGGAAATGGCTTCATTAGGAGATAACTATGATCAAGATTTTCATCAGTTTTATCAGTGGACGATATTACTGGTTCAGTGATGAGTCCATCAGGGTATCTGCAGTACAAGCTCAATCAACAAAAATGCATTAATTAAAAAAATAATAATTCTGGGATACAGTGAGGCACTTACAGTAGAAATGAATGGGGACAATATGTAATCAGTTTCTATAGTGTAGCCAACACCATAAATGTGAGAAGAAAATTGCTTACTAACTTTTTCGGTGTAAAGTTACATCCAATTTTACAACTTCATTGCCACTGCAACACAAGACTATAAACCCGAAACCCTAAAGCAGCGAAAAATGCTGATTTAAACAGATTTAGAGCACCAAAATACACGTTTTCACAGAAGAATGTTGAACTTACATTGAATCTGACTCATGAATGTAAAGCTAAATTGATGCCAGTCTTTTGAGATGGACCTGCGTCTCTCTAGGGATGGACTTTATTGGGGCAAAAGTCATAGTAAGTGTTAGTTAATAGTGAGAATTGGTCCCTAAATTAAAGTTGAATGAATTGGTCCCTAAACTAAAGTGTGACCACAAAAATTATTTGACAAGAATTAAAATGTTTAATGCAACAGCTATTGTACTGAACGCAGTACAAGTTTTTCTTTGGTATAATGTGAAATGAATTGTGCACAGTAATATTAAGATTATACAAAGACACATTCTGATTTCATATCAGCAATACTGATAAAAAGCTAATGTCAGGGCAGTTAACACCTCTTCACACCAAATATTTCACCAGTCGACTGACACAATCAATCGTGGGCCAAAGTAACACAGACACAAAAGTCACGAGAAAGGTTGGAATGCTGTAACTGACTGTTATAATAATGTAATGCTGCCTGTAAAGTGAATCTCAGATGTCTGCTGAGTTTCGTAAGAGTCAAAGGTTTCTGTCTTTCTCTCAGAGTTTTATCTTTACTTAGGAAAGAGATATCCATCTTTGTTTGGGAAGAGCGTTAAACTTATCTTAGCACACTGGGACCACAATCTCCGAGGAGAGGACTGAAACATGAAGAAGTCGGTTTATCTTCCAATGCCAACATTAAGCAATCTTGCAGAAAACCGTGAACGTTATGTAAAGGTGACACATTCAGTGATTTTATTTTGTTTCAATCAATTTTGAAAGGATGTTTAGCAGGATATGAGGAACAGGGAATAAATAAAACGTGAGCCAACCAATCAGACAAGTCAGACAAGAAAAGAATTAAAAATCGCATGAATGTCGATCTCATCTGTCGACAAAATTACAGTCACTGATGCCTCTCAAGGAATGACAGTCAATTTTATAATGGTTACTTTACTAAAATGATGACATGTACAACCTCCAGAGGGTGCGGCCTTCTTTTAACATTTATTATTTTGAAAGGCCTTCCTTACCGTTTTCAACAACAACTCATAGTTATCATGCCTATCAAGCTGCAAAAACAACAACAACAAAAATGGAACTAATCCATATTTGTCAGTAAAGACAAACATGGCATCACATCAGACCTGGAGAAAATAAAATAAAGAGTTTTGGCATAAGATTAGGATGATCAGTGCATAATAACTACATTTTGACCTGTTCCCTGCACAAAGCTAGTGTACAACTATGCACACGAGCCATATGAGCTGCTGTTATGAATATAGTCACGGAAAAAGGAGACAAAATAACTGAATAATAACTACAGCCTACTTTTATGGTGGTTTTCGTTTCTTTTTTTGAGCTTGAGGGTGAGGAAATAACGGCAGAATGTTCCTTTAGTTTGGTAAACTAGTTTCACCGGCAGACATCTAGTAGTGGTCGGCCGATATCCGGCATTTTTCAAATATCGGCATCGGCCGATAAGTTTTCCTGTTTGGCCGACATTCTCCCTCTTGTTCGCTGTCGTCGTTAACAGTTCTGTCTAAATACGGACAGAAATCTGTCTAATAATCCGATAGAACTGTTAAACAAAAGAATTAAAATGTATACAAAAACTATTATACAATTGCTTTTATATTATTAGTAATAGAAAGGCAAACATTATAATACTTTCTCGTTTACCGTCAGCATTCAGCAAATACGCATTTACATCATTTAAACAAATCTTTGGCTGGCTAATGAAAATGTAATTTCACAAACCATGCAAACTTAGTCGACTCCAGTTGTGAGATCTTGTGAAGTGTGCATTTGTATCCTGCATGATTGCGTGTTCTCTGCGTGACTTTTGGCCCGTGCAAATTGAATGCTTTAAAGTCTAAACATTAAATTTGTGATTTCAAATTATGCTGTGCTTTATGCATTTGCCCACTGTCATATTCATGTCATTTTCACTGTGTGCTGTATGTAAAATGAGTGTTATCTTGGCTTTATATGAAAAAAATATGTTTCCCAATGCACACAAACTTCCCAGAATACTGAGTGCTCGGTTGGTTACAGTTTACTTCCTTTTTAATTATATTTTTATTAAATATTTGTGAAAAATACTTTGTCATCTAAAGTATAAGTAGGCTGTGTTTATTTTACAAATTTATTTTTTAATCCATTTTCAAATTTCTTAAATATTAATTAAAATAAATACAATTATATCGGCCACCCTGTTTTCAAAGATATCGGCATCGGCTGTCAAAAAAACAGTATCAGTCGATCACTAATATCTAGTGGTACTCTTGAATGATTTGCCGTTGAACTGGATCAAGCCTTGTTCTGCGCTTACATGTGAGGAAGAGGTTGTTCTCATCCACTCTGCTCTTTGAAGGCCTGATGTTCAGATCAATGCTGGCAGTGTCCAGGTTACGCTGGTTCGTTTTTGAGTTGTAGCATGAAGCGGAGCGGCAGTGATCTCTCAGCCACACGTAGTCAAAGTGCATTACAAGACCACCACAGCTGAGCTCTGCAGAAATACATGAATTCAGTAGACTTCTTTACAAGCATTTACTTTTATTATGGCATGCAATTTAATATAATTCTGCAATGATGTGCATATATCAGTAAGTAATGTGGATATAGAAGTGATAGGCTGATAAATCAACCATTTTAGTGAATTGTGAATAAATAGTGTGTAAAATAAAATAATCATTCTATCATGAATTGCATTACATAAATCGACATTACAGTGGCCTTTTCTCAAGATATCTTTATCAGCCATTTTTAATCTAAAACACCTTGTTTGATCCAGTGTTGTTTTAGTACCATCAAATAGTTTTTGTTAATATTTGGAATTAGATTTTATTTTTATATTTTCTGCTTTCACTTACATTTTTAAGTTTTAGTTATGTTTTGTCATTTTTATTAGCATTTGTTGTTTTTACATGTCTATATAGTTTTTATTCATTTTGATTTCAGTTTTAGTTATTTTAGTACAGCAAGTGAAACTAAATGAAAATAAATTTCAATTCACATTCATTTTATAAAAAAAAAAATGGTTAACTAGAATAACCCTGGTTTGATCATTGTCTCTATCTATAATTATTTGGTTGAGAATGAGATACGAAACGATCCTTGGCAGTTCTACACATTTCAAAACTGCCTATAATAACAATAACATGTAAATATTAAGCTATTTGGGATGCAGCTGTTTGGGAATGCATGTCTCTCACCCATGCAGTCAGGCAGCAGCTGATAGCTGCATGAAGATGAATGGGCTGCAGTGTGCTGTTGTAATCTCTTGCTCTGAGAACTGGCTCCCAAACACTCCAAACCTTGTTTCAAGTGCACATATCCACTCAGTCTGGTCAACAGTCTTATCAAAGCCATGGTGACCTGCAAAGAGAGAAGCACCCGTGCACATAATGCATTAATCACCAACACATGCAGCCAAATAGCCTCATGCTGGATAACACTACAGATGTAATACAGCGTATCAGTGTCTGCATGCATGCATGTTACTTGCTGCGCACGAGGAACTTCGAGCTCGCGCGTGCGGTGGTGACAATCACAAAACTTCGGTGAACTTCAATTTACGACTTTTTACGTTTCTTATATACTCGTTAGCATTAATCACTACACTTGAACTTCATCCCCGCCATTGTGTCCATGATGTGTGCGTCCACGCAAGCGCTCAAATCAGCCGATTCTACTACGTTGAAGACTTGCTACTTAATATTCATGAGCCAGAGCTGTGCCATTGGAGGTTACCGAACAACGTTTACATCACGTAATTAATATTAACAAGTCTTCACCAAAGCCTTCACCAGAAGGTTACCACGCAACATCGCATCGGATTTATTCATATTAATAAGCCAAGCCAAGCCTTTACTATAGTAGGATTTTTTTTTTTTTTTCAATTTTAAATATGTGCTTATTCTTACAATTATTTTCCGGCTTAAAGGCTTACTGAACGCCATTTACTTTACACTATCGACATTAAAACTATATTTATTTTATAACATTAACATTTTATACATTTTCATAGCACTTCAAAAATAATTGTACAGTAATCATCCGTAAATAAATGTAAATTAAAGCCACTTTCACATTTCTTACTAGTATGTTACTAGTTATTCTATTTTCCAACTTGTTAAGCATAGGCCTATTTGTTCATTAAATACTAATACTTTTACATTTTTTTGGTAGATAGTGGACTAGAAAGCACTAGGTCTTTTCTTAATGACAAATACAATTTGTTAAATATTAAGAATAAAATATCCCGAACTCAACAGCTGGGTACTAGTAATATTTCCAGAAAACTTTAATACCATATAATATACTATATAATAAAAAATAAAAAAAATTCTCTCCCTCCCTCCCTCCCTCTCTCTCTTAAAGAGCATCACTTTTACAGTCAGCGTGGCTACTGACACTTGGTGGTAGAATCTAACATTGCAGAATGAACAAGCAGCATAGAAAACTGCTGACCAGCAATGATGTCAATGCTGTATGCAATGAAATAAATACAATTAAATGGAGTTTGTTTTTATGTAACCTCAGGTAAGTAAGTAGGCCTACGTCTTTGAAGACACAGTCTATTATTTGGTACTTTTTTATATTATTGTGATGTATATGGTAAAGTGAAATTTATATTTATGTGTTTGTGCTTTAACACCGTAATATATAAATTAATTATTTAGATCATTTATAATCAATTATTATAAATTGATGATTATTTCCTTATGGTATAGTACCTTTAAATGGATTGTGATTAAAAGTTATACTATACTGTACAAAACATGCTGTTTTTGTTTTTATTTTTCTAAAAAGGATCAAATAAGGTTAGATGTGCTATAAAAAGTGCACTTTAACAAGTTTTTTTTTTTTGTCTTGAAGTCCTATAAAAGTACAATTTACTTTAAATGTAATTATCACAAAAATAATTATGCTTCCAAGAACATAGGCACATAATTAACTGAAAAAAGTCAGATGTTTGACAAAATAACCTTATAAAATTCACTACTACTGGATGGCAGAGTAGGCTACATATAGTGTACTTCACTTGGGACACAACTATTGAGATGCACTCTAAAAAAAATAATTCAGGGGACCTGTTACCACAACTTGGATGCAAGTTTAAAAAAAATTAGTTATTCACATATTAAATCTTTTGAGTTGCCAACATTTTCATGAGGTCCCCTTTTGTCCATAGATTTATGGTGATTGTCTGAAAATTAAAACACATTCAAAATAAACAAATATTAGTGTCACGATCTCTAGCTGGAGTGCCCGTGAGCTTTGCTAGAGGGCACTCCACTCCAGACTCTTGCCACTTTACCCAGGACTCCATTTCCCATAATCCTTTGCACGGACTCATCAATTGCATCACCTGTCTCTCATCAAATCTCATCATCAGTTCACAGTAGTGATGGGAAGTCTGGCTCTTTTCAAAGATTCAACTATTTTTATTCATTGTTTCGTTACAAAAAAATACAGTTACTATTATTTAACATTTTAATAAAACTTTATATATAAATTGCCATGAACTGATATCATCTTTTTAGAGATTATAAAAGCAGCACTATTTGCTGGTATTCTGCCATGCCAAACTATGTACGCAGCAGCCAAAACAAAATAACAGTGTTTTGTGAATGTTGATGCTTTAATAACAAATATTTATCAGGAGCGTTTATGCTGGGATTTCATGTAAATTTCACGGATGTAGTCACAGAAAAAAGTTATGTAATTAGTAATGTAACTAATTACTTTTTAAATAAAGTAATCAGAACAGTAATGTGAATCGTGATTACTTTTAAAAGGAGTAATCAGTAATCAGTCATTTAAATACAGAGTTCTGGCATGAAACTCTAGATGGCGCAGTCCGATAGGTCTAACTCAATCTGACCTAATGACATCATTATCACATGGCACAGCTGATTGGTTCTCTCCTGTATCGTTAGCCAATGAGCTCGCTGCTCCGCATTCAAATATATGACTACGGCTTACCGTAGCAGTTGCAGCTTGCTTCAGAAACCCTCCACCTTCCCCAGCTCCACCTGTATAGATAGGTCCCATCGAGTTCTGCAATGAAGCATGAACTTTCATTCTAATAAAGAGTGTTGCTGCTTTGAATTTGTCATGTTCAACATGAACTTGTCAAAGCTCTTTATTTAGATTTTTTGTGTGCCATCAGTGGGTATGTAATGGTGAGTTTGTCTTTTTCCCTTTATAACCACTGTTTACGTATTGAGTGTTTGTGTATGCATTCATAATGATAGCAAATTATCTGAAATCACGTGGAATCGACCACATTTATTAATTTAATTATGCAAAGCATGGGACGGAATGGAAGGGTATTATGTTAAGTATGAATATTTCTGTACAACACAATAGGCCTACCAGCATATTTTTGAAAATAAATAAAGGTTAGAGACATATGTCCCTGTCAGTCATGAGTACCTTTGTGCTTGCATGTGATTGTACTCAAGATGAAGCCATGCCTTTTTCAATGTTAATTTTACTAAATTAATTGCATTAATTTATTCACCGTCTTTCTTGCACGCTCTCTAGAGTGAACGCTACTTGTGGTGCTCTCATATGTGATGGATGTTGCTGAAAATTGTCGTATTTATGGTCTACAACTATTATTACCTAAAACTACTGTTCATATCAGTAGTCACTTTTGTGACTTCAGAGTAGGCCTACTGGTGCACATCTCTAAAATGATGTAGCTATTATGCATGTGGCTGTTATGATGTAATGGCCAATTACAACAATTAATTTGAAAACCCAATAAATTAAAAACAGATCTTACCTTCTGGGGATTTAAGGCAAGTTGGAGGTTAAAACATTATGATTAAGATTCTTTCAAGTATCTGAAAATGTAAGCAATTGGTGCTATAACTGGGTTTTCTTTGCTTTGTGTAGCTGAGATGGTAGTGTTGAAATGGCAGTTGATGACGTCCTCAGAGCTGATTTCTCTATGACTTGACTCTGCTTTCCCCAGGGTTTAATCTCAATGCAAGATCAACTGAAGTAGACCGTTTGGCTGACTTGCTTTCATGGGAGGAGGCATTTGATCTTATGTTAAAAGGTGAGATTGTGGTTAAGGATTAGTGTTTTAATGTTGTTTTGGAGATATAGAAGGCTGTGAATTTTATGCTAGGATTTTGTTCCTGTTGTGCTGACATATAGTTTTGTGTGTGTGTAGGACTGTTGGGTGATGACCTGCAGAAGGGTGGCCTCTTCCAAGAAACAAATTCTAGTTATCGAATGTCTGTGGAGGAATCTGGTTCAGACGTGCCTGGTAACTACAGCCAGGATGCTGAAGCTGAGAGTCCAGTTCAAGCCCCGCTTTTGAGTCCATCTCTGAGTCTTGTTATCTAACAAAATTGGTTTCGAATGAATGGTCAAACCTGGATATTAATTGAGTTTTCAGTGCTGAGTTATGCAAACTCTCGAATCCTCATTATAACAAACACTGTGTAGATATGATGTAAATTGTAGATCCGTTGACTTTAACAGAACTGTGAGATTGCGATGTTCATCACGGCACCAAATAACCTTCCAATACAACTGTAGTCATGTTTTGCATGTGCTGTAAGTGGACGGTAGCCAGTAACACGCTAAAGTATGAGTTCAGTTGTGCCGAGGAGTAGCGAATAATGATGGTAAAAATAACCATACTTCAGAATGTTTATATCAGAATACTGTATATAAAATGTATAAAGAACATTTTAAATATATAGAAAACATGTGTATAGAATATATAAATATTTACAGAATATCAAAATTGCATTGAAGTGTACAGGTTTGCTTGTGTCGTGTAAACACCTTACTGAAATTAAGCCCTTACTCTGCTTATTGGACATAATCACATTATTGGTGCACATGTAGTCACTGTCACGTGACCTACCTGTGTCAGCTGCGTTGTGTCAGTGCCATTCATAAATCTTCTACTGTGGCGTCATGGGATAGTAAAGTGTCCATCATATACATTCATTCAGAATCACGCCGGAAGTAGTAGGTCATCCGGGTGCCTTTTGCTTACTGTTTTATGACATCACACTGTTTTTTGCCAACTATATAGTAGTGAAGTATGTGATTTCAGATCCAGCCCTGGAACAGTCACTTCCTTTTGCATGCATGCGTTTAGACAAGCTCTTTGAAAGCTGTGCGTGATATGAAACGGACCACAGAAAGCGAAGTAGGCTATACCCAGGCCTTTATATGACCAAAGTCCACATTAGATCACAATCGGAAGTTATTAGAAACACTCAATGGTAGTTTAAAGTGAGTTTTGAGTAAAGGCACAGTATAAATCTTATAATGTCTAATGTATAATGATGATAGTTTTAGCTCTAATGCACCTGTTACCCTGCTGTGATTATATTTCATGATGTATTCTGTGGAATTAATTCATGCAAGTTCATAAGAAAAGTTTGGTTTTGTTTTTTAGAAAGATGCTGGATTATTCTCATTGTCCCAGCAGATCTGTGACTATAACCAAGTGCAGAGTGAACAACCAACTTTTTAAACTTCTATGCGCATGGATCGTCATGTGACATGCGTGTTTGGTTGTGTAGTGTGGACGAAGATCTTTTCTGAAACACAGTGGAAATGCCAGTATGGACGAGGATCGTTTTCATTTAAAAACACCATGTAAAAAACGAAAGACAATGCACTAGTGTGGACATAGCCTAAAGCAAAATCATAATTATACTCACTGTAGCTTTGAATACATTATCACTGTGGCTT